TACGAGGGGGGAGGGGTTAGGTCCCATGTTCAAAAGAACTTTATTACCTGATTAGGTGTAAATAAACTGGTGATAGGAATACTAGAATCAGGAACAAGGAATCCTGAAGATTTATTTTTAAAATAGAATTTCACTAATAAAGGGATCATTGTCACAATCCTTTTTAACTTTTTCACCTGGGGGTGTAAACCTTTCATATTTCATAATTCAACAGAATTCAAAGTTTGAAATATCTAATGTCTATGCCCATTGGGTTACACAGATATAAGTATTAGAAAATAGGAGTTAGCGGCAAATTCATAAGTTTTGGTTCTATGAATTCACACTTTAAAAACTCAAGCTATTCATAGACTTTTTGTAGACAGTTACTGTCACAGTTAATCGCAAAGATGTTTTTTTTAAATTGCTCTCAAAGGAAAGTCGAAAGAAAACTTTAACCTGAATTACCACAGAGTCCTACAGTAGCACATGCTAGTTCAGGGTTCAATGTTCTTATATACTGAAAAATAATCTAAATAAAACTTAAGTTTAAGACAAGCAAGTTTTTTTATTAAAAGATATCATCTTTTTCAACTCTTGACAAAAGCATTTGTATTTAAGCCTTCAGAATTTTGAAAAACGCAAACAAATTTTCTGAATTGCAAATAACAAAAAATAGTTTAATTTTCCATATGGATAATATTTGCTTTCCAGAGCTAAGCTCTCATATGGTTCTGAACCCTTAACCCCTTCTATCAATCTTCTTCCAAGCTTTATCAGAAAAAGATGACAAACGCCAAATTTTCAACTGCAGAATCAGAAATTGTTTATAAACATACCTCAAAGAGGGGAATGTAGAAATCGTCGACGATATGCTTGCAATGTGCAGAATTCTAAAACAAAAATATCATGTTATAAAGTCAAACATTTTCAAAAACCATTTAATTGTGAAAATCAAAAAAACGGTATATAAAAAATTGTTATGATGCTAAGACATTAATTGATTCATAACTTTTTAAAGGAAATATAATATTTTCTGAAAAACGAACTGATCGTTTCGTTAACTAAAAACAGAACGATCGTTTTTAAAAAAGATAAAATTTGCATATTTCGCTTCACAACAAAATAAAAAATTAAATCTACATTCCGTTTTTCCGATATTCAAAAATCGGTTCGTCAGTTTTAACTAAAACCATTCGTTTTTTTCTAGTTTTTCGTTAGTATTGATAAATAACAAACGAAAAACTAAATGTTTTTGTTCTGTTTTCATAATTCCCATCCCTACCTGCATTGCATTCGTTATAAATTTTGAATAAACACGAAAAGATTAAAGTTCACCTTAGAATCAAGCTTGTCACATATTCCATCTAAAAGCTGCTTGAACTCCTAAGTTCAATAAAAATATAAAAAAAATTTTTTTCTTAATGTGTATTTTGGCATGAATCAATGATAAGGTCTAATCTAATCTGTGACAGAACGCAGTAATATTATGAAGACAAATAGATTCTTTCACGATTTTTCAAAGATTAACATTTCTGAGAATCATTTTTTTGAACAGGTAAAAAAATACTAAGATGTGAGGATTATATTTAGAAATTTAAAAAGAAAAAGTGGTCTTCGCGAACTGATCTTATTTATGATTACATGACGCCTAAAGCTGTAATATTTAATATTGACCTGGATAGAGGAATTCGAAGCGTAAACGTCAATCCAGTGTTTGACAACCTTTTCACAAAACTCACCTCAACAAAGAAATTAAAAATTAAAAATTTTACAAAGTAATCTTCATAATAAAGCTTTTTGCTCATAGCTAGCTTTAGCTGGCGAAACGTCTGAACCAACTTTGTTTAATTTTTTAGGGAACCACGGGTGACATAGGCTATATTGTTTGTAATCATTGATATTCCACGGGTATTGGCGCTAAAATCATGATTTAATACCAAGCGCGGAAACCGATGGGAGTAACTTATAGACTTTGAATTAAAATGTAAACCTGGACAACGTCAGGTTCTACAAATAGAACTATGTAAAATCTCTATCCTTCCTTTATTCACACTAGACAATTTATTATAATTTTTTTGTAATATCATTTTTTCCTTTAAAACCAGCTAAATAATGAAATGATTATCCCGCTTACACTCTGCATGATCCTTATATCCTTGAAACCTGATGTCGAAGACCATTTATATTTTAAACTATAAATTCTGCTAGAACATTAAAATTTAAAATATCAAAGGTTTCAAAGGTAAAGTTAGTATAAGTTTTAAGTGTAAGGCGTGTAATCTGTAACTTTCTCAAAATCTGCAGCATATTTAATTACCCCATGTAGACAAAACCATTGATTAAACAATGTATAAATTTTAAACTTACACTGAATTTCTCCTCGGACAGAGTTATTCACTAAATCCAATTGCTTGCACACATCTAAACAAAAATAATGCATTCTTGACAGTGACAGTAGGTTATATCCGATTCCCTTTTTTCTTACTTGAAAAATAACTATCAAGTTCTATTTAGAAGAAATAAAAAAAATAAACGATAAAAACACAAGAAAGCTGCTTTAATAATATTACAATATTATAATCATTACTAACATTAATTCATAACATATATATTTACCTTTCTGACTGCAAAGAGAAGGTGTCAATCCACTTTTAATGAGTTTGATGATCGACTAAAAATAATCAATAATTTCAAAACTTTAAATTAAATTTATTCATAACAAAAAAAGAAAAAAAAGACATTATAGACGATCAAATACAATAAACCCTTCCCAGGCATCTTCATTTTTCTTTTCTGAAATTGTGGTGTTCTGCATACTGTAAAGGTAAGTTCAAGTTTTGGTTGACTTAAAAATAGTTGACAATCCCTTTAAATACCTTTAGTTCTGTAGAAACAGTCTCTTTAAATACCTTTAGTTCTGTAGAAACAGTCTTTTTAAATACCTTTAGTTCTGTAGAAACAGTCTCTTTAAATACCTTTAGTTCTGTAGAAACAGTCTCTTTAAATACCTTTAGTTCTGTAGAAACAGTGTACATACAGGACTCACTGTAGCTGCCCATATACCCACAAACCTCCAGCAGTTTCATCTCAATCTGAATATTTGACAATACAAGGGTGAAATTTAAAAAAAAACGAAACATTAAAAAATATGGTAATTTTAAGCAAAAAGTAGAGAGGCAAAAATGTTTAAGTATATGTTTAAGTATGCCTAGAGGGCTAGCACGCAGGCTGGTTATCCTAGATCATATCAGATGGCTAGAGGGCTAACAGGAAGGCTGGTTATCCTAGATCATATCAGATGGCTAGAGGGCTAGCAGGCAGGACGGTATCCTAGATCATATCAGATGGATAGAGGGCTAGCAGGCAGGCTGGTTATCCTAGATCATATCATATGGCTAGAGGGCTAGCAGGCAGGCTGGTTATCCTAGATCATATCATATGGCTAGAGGGCTAGCAGGCAGGACGGTTATCCTAGATCATATCAGATGGATAGAGGGCTAGTAGGCAGGCTGGTTATTCTAGATCATATAAGATGGATAGAGGGCTAGTAGGCAGGCTGGTTATCCTAGATCATATCAGATGGCTAGAGGGCTAGCAGGCAGGCTGGTTATCCTAGATCATATCAGATGGCTAGAGGGCTAGTAGGCAGGCTGGTTATCCTAGATCTTTATATACCTGGATAGTAGGCAGGCTGGTTATTCTAGATCTTAATATACCTGGCTAGTAGGCAGGCTGGTTATCCTAGATCTTAATATACCTGGCTAGTAGGCAGGCTGGTTATCCTAGATCTAAATTGCTCAATCTGAGATTCACAGACTGAACACCCAACAACCTGTATTATAATTACAATTAAAGAAACTGTGTAGTTTAAAATAACCCTCCATGGAAAGATGTTAATGCCTGATTTACAATGGTGCCAATTAAAAGCTTTTTGTGATTAGGTATGACTTATATATCCATGTTTAAAATCTTAAAAACTAAGAATTTTCATGTGGATTCAATACAAAAAAACTTTCTCCCGCAGGAAAATCACGGAGAAATAAACAGAATCAAAAACTTTTCATGTAAAAAAATTACGTTGTCTTTCACATTATTGATCAGATAAAAGTGTCAAGGGCACCGTTGTAAATCTGACATGTCTCTCACTCGAAAATACTTCTATCAGTCCCTTTGATAGCTAGTCTGAAATATGAAAACTACATAATATGTTTTGTGTGTTTTTCTATAACCCTCCATCCTCCTCTTCATACTTATGAGATTGGCAAAGTATAATTTTAATTGAAACATTATTTATGAACAAAATTATCTCAATTTTTGAATGGAATTAAAACGTAAGAACAGAAAATTATACAAAATTGACTTTTCGGGTGTATGTGTTTAACCCAGAAATAGATTACACAAAATGGGATAAAGGCCCAAAGTAATCCTAATAAAAGTAATTTCAAATTATCTTGTTGACGAAAAATAAAAACATTAAAAACGACCAGGTACCGAATTAAATGAATTTGCGGATTAAAAGACAAAGATTTGGGAAGGATTTTAATCAGTGGTTCAAATTTGAACCTGCCGCGGCAGATCAGCGACGGACCTTAAACGTATCCTAAATTCATTAAGTCTGTCCCCGGAATGGGATTCATCATCATGTGCCCTTTTTATTGTTGTTAAATAATGCAAATTCGCAAACTTTTTTCTTTTTACTTGGAAAGCAAATTTTATACTTTTTTCCAAATACACTTTTTTGGTTTCTTTGAGTTAATATACAAGAAGCTGGACAGAAATCTGAATAAATTTGTAAACCCAGAAAATGTGTATTATTATGATCAGAATTTGTGTAAGCCATAAAATATTTGAAAATGATTCCCCAAATTCGAATTAAACCTGTGAAGTGTGAGGGAGGGCTGCTTGCTTCAGCAGAATATCAATTCTAGCAGAATTACAAAGCCCAGCAACAGTACACACACTAAAATAATTACATACAAAATTTTATTTGAATAAAGAAAAAAATTGAGTGAAAACCATAAAAGAGAAAAAAAAATACCAAATTCTTATTAAACAATTATTCACGTGTATCATGATGAATGAGAGATGAAATCATATGTGATGAATTAAATCTTAGGATCCATATATTGTAGATTCCGATATGATTAAATAGATTGCGTGGCTATTGTATCCTGTAGGATTAACTAAATGTTAGGATCAACCACGTTAGCTCTTAAATCTAAAAGTTGTCACATCTCATGCTGATCCGGATCATGGATCAGCCCTGTAATAAATGGATCCAGATCCGGATCCTGGACATTTCTCTAATAATATTTACTGATTTTTTGAACAGATGAAACGTTGAGCATAGTTCCTTTTACTAATCTCTTACTTATAGTTAACACATGAGATCTGTGTTTTGAGCATAGAGAATAGAATATATATTAGAGTGGAATTTAGAGAATCTCTCGTTATGAATTTTTTCAGTCCCTTTCAGCCTGAAAGGGAGTTCAAAGTGTACAAATCATGTAAATGTTCACAAATTATANTAATATTGTATATTATCTAATATTGTCTATTATCTTATATTGTCTATTATCTAATATTTTCTATTATCTAATATAGGCTATTGTCTAATATTGTCTATTATCTACTATTGTCTAATATCTAATATTGTCTATTATCTAATATTCTCTATAATCTAATAGTGTCTAATATCTAATATTGTATATTATCTAATATTGTCTATTATCTTATATTGTCTATTATCTAATATTTTCTATTATCTAATATAGGCTATTGTCTAATATTGTCTATTATCTACTATTGTCTAATATCTAATATTGTCTATTATCTAATATTCTCTATAATCTAATAGTGTCTAATATCTAATATTGTATATTATCTAATATTGTCTATTATCTAATATTGTCTAATATCTAATATTGTCTAATATCTAACCTGGGTTTGATTAGACTGTAAGGTATCTCTAGCTTGTCCAACCATGTTCTTACAGATATCACAAACTTCATCAGTATCCTGTGTAAAATGTGAATCATCATTTTTAGAAAATTTTCAAATTCTAATGCAAAAAGATTATTTTATGATGAAAAATGTTTCCTTAATGATTCCTTGCAACAATAAACTTCTTTTAATCTTTGTAAAATCATAATATAAGCTAATTAAACACCATATTTCAGACAGAAGACTTAATTTAAAAGTAATATTTAAAGAGTTTCAAGTCGTCTTTGCTGTATCATCCTTTGTTTGTCATCTTGTATCTGGTATACCCAGCACTAACCTTAGGGACATTCTCCTTCATCCACACACTTCCAATACAGTGTCTTACCGCTCCACACTCTTTTGCCTAGGTAGGTAGGTAGGTAGGTAGGTAGGTAGGCAGGTAGGTAGGTATATGATTTTGCCCTTAGAGTTGAGATAGGGGAGCGTGAGACATGTTCCTATTCCAAATTTTCAAGGCCTTCTCATTAAAAAAAAAATTGGACTATAATGCTTAGGGTGTAAGGGAGGATTTTTAAAAAGTTCAAAAAGTAAGTCGAAAATTTTTTCAATAATAGTTATTTTTACTTTTAACAAATATTAACATATGACATATGTTATTGTATCCATTTATAAAGGACTTTACAAATATATAAGTCTTAGCTCTTTAGCCTATAGTTAATAAAAAAATAATAATTTTTTCTGATTTGTTTGAAACACCGACCGCCGTTTGACAGTCCTCCACCCTACCCTATACATAAAGAAAAAATTAGCAAATTTTTTTACAACTATTATGTTGAAAAAGTACAGAAGTTTTAGCGATCAAATGTAAGCCGTTTTTAAGTTATTCAGAAGAAGCCAAAGGGTAGAAAACACCCCCCCCCCATCGTGATTGGGTTATAAAAGTCTTTTAAGTGAAAGCTTCTTTGTTTCCATGTTTATGCGTGTCCTATTCGACAACGACTGGCTGTAAAAGGTACCTGTGGTATAGTGGCGCACCAATATTTAGGTCCCCAGCTACATTTAGACGATCCGACCAACCCAGCTGTAGCTTGCTGAAGCAGGACAGCTGATAACAGCAGGTATATCATCCTGTAACAGACAATAGTTTAGATGTCCAGCTGAAGCAGGACAGCTGATAACAGAAGGTACATCATCCTGTAACAGATAAAGGGGTTGAGGAACAGCTGGTAACAGCAAGCTAGTGCGTACAACATTTAAGAGACAAAGGTTGAGCTGCGTCTCAAATTCAAGCCGCGTCTCAAATTCAAACAGACTGTTTTTTTTTTGTCCTAGCACTCTCATTTTTGACACTATCACCGTGAAATTTTGTGAATTTTTATGAATAGCATTTTAAAGGATTTTTTGCTAATTCTTTTTTATAAGTTTGAAATATCAAAGGTTTACACCATCAGGTTGCAAAGAAGGATCAGAATATTTGAGTTGCATAATAAAACAACTGCAGAAATAAACAAAAAGCTTTCTTTTAAGTTTTAACTGCAGACATACAGGACGATTAATTGAACATAAAACATGTTTGGGCTAAATACATCAAAAAAGAGACAATTGCATTGAATTTGCTGGATTAACCCCGGAATTAATGTGGAAGCTAGATAAGCTGTCAAAAAACTATTTCCCCCTTTTCTTCATTAATCATTTATCGCCATTTATGTATGGATTTTTAACATTGCAGTGGGGGTAATGAAATGAATTTTAAATGCAATATCTCAACAAAGAAAAGAAATTTTCCGCTTTATATCTCATTTTCTACCAAATCTACGAAACTCATTTCTTAAAAAGTATTATTAAACCTGACCATGCATGCATGTCTGTAAATGTTTCCATTATCAGTAAAAAAAACACATTGTAATACAAAAATATAAAAAATTGTAACAGTAAAATAAATCCTTGGAGATTTTATATACAATTAGTTATAAAATGTTTCGTAATTGTTCACAATAATATATAGAAATATGTACTTTTTGTATTCAAATGTACTGAAGAACAATCCTTCCAGGTTGAAATATACAGGATACAAATTCTCACCAGTATTTAGATCTGTACTTAAAATACAAATTTTTCTTGTTGTGATCTTTTCTTGCCCCACCCCCCCTCCCCATAACTAAAACATGGCTTTCAACTGCACTTGTTTATTTAAAAATATTTGTTGTTTATCTTAGGATTGATGTGTTTAACATGTGTTACAATTTACAAGCATGGTATTTTTTTACTTCAGAAAAAAAACAGAAAATAAAACTTTGATAAAAAAGTTCGAATTTTTTGAAGTCCTAAGACAAAAGTTACTTGATATAAAGTCCTGAGTTTTAGATTCGTAGAACTTTATTTCCGAAAACTTTTTTTCAGAGAACTTTTTTTGCTCTTACCGTACAGTACACAGTATATAGTCCCATTTGATTTTCAAGATAAACTGGTTAAACTTTTCTTTAAAACAAAATTAATAACATATAATGTTGTCTTCTGTATTCACAGATTTATTTGTCTCACTGTAGTCTGTATACAACTTAACTTAATCTCTAGATTTAGAGAATTCTTTAATTTTGAAGGGCAATTGTTTTAATAATTTTGGAACATAATAAAACATAACAGTAGAGGCCACGCCAGGTTCCACACACGAACAGCTATGTGAGATCATTTTATACATTGTTGATAATAAAAAATTTAAAGGTTTTCAATCATAAATATTACTTTTAGCTTTATAAAATTTAAAGTAATATTTTAATACTAGGCTTTCGGAGCGCTTCCCGCCCCTTTTCCTGTAAATAATTTTAACGTTTAGCAGCTGCTCTGAAAGTCTGCCATTTAAAATTATTTTCTAATTTTTGTAGATTTTTCTTTTTAAATTGGCGCATTTAAAAAAAAAATCAACTGTTTTCAAGAAAATTTGTTCTCGAATTTTGATGTTCAATAAGCCTTTCCTGGGGGTCATACTCATAGTCATGTGAGAGGTTTAGCGGTAATGTATCAT